GATCTAGACCTCGAAAGACCACCCAGCAAAGACGGATATACGGTCCCTAGCACTGTTGAGAGGGGGATGCTGAGTTTGGCGGTTGGGAGTTACTGCTGTCGTGAGATCGGGGTAGCTCGTGAACCGCCAGCTTTGGTAGCTGCAAAAAAATGAGACTAGATTCTAACGCCCCGGCTTGGACACCGGGGCCATGCAGCAGCAGAGAGCACGGTGAGGGTGGCGGAGTGACCGCACGCCGTGGGGATATGCCCCAAAGAGAGGAAAGGAGAGAGTCCGGAGCTGGAGATCCAAACCGCTCCGGGACAAGAAGACAACTCTATGGGAAACAAGGCAAGAACCGGGGTAACTGTCACGTTAGCCCGAATGTTCGCAAGAAAATAGCAAAAAAACAAAAAATGAGGGGAAGATGGACGAAAAGGGTCGGGCGGCGCGTAGGTTAGCTAAGAGAGCAGCGCGCGCCGCGCGAAAGAGACAGCGGGGTCAACTTCTTAGGGTAGCAACCTGGAATGTGCGGACTTTGGCTGTAAACGGGGCCAATGGATACGGGCGAGCCTACAGCGTTCTAGACGAGGCAGCGAGACAAAACGTATCGGTGGTAGGAATGCAGGAGACACGAAGAGCAGGTCGAACGGAATTTGCAGCAGCGGGTTTCCGGGTGTTCTGCTGTGGCACGGAGACTGGTGGAGCCCATGGTGTGGAAATAGCCGTCAAAGAGTCACTGTGCAAGACATCCACGTTCACTACGGAGTTTATCGACGAACGCCTTATGGCCATGAGGTTTATGTTGGCAGGCCACCGTGGAGCGGTCAACTTCGTAGCCGCGTATGCTCCAACCGAACCTTCAACCGCAGACAGCAAGCGCGTGTTCTGGGGAAAACTTGACAGTCTCGTGCGGACGATCCCTTCCAAAGAATGTATGTATGTCCTGATGGACGCAATGCGCGGACGGGAGATAGGTTGGACGGAGGGGACGGAAGGGTAATAGGAATGTACGGGCGTGATGAGCTCAACGATGGCATGCTACTGTTGAATTTCGCAACGGAAAGCAGGCTAGCTCTCACGAACACATTCTTTGAGACACGCAAGGGTGATATATGGCACACATACAACGGTGTGTCGGGAACCGATTGCAAGCGCCTTGACTACATCCTGACAAGGCAGGCACATCACGGCCGAGTATCTAACGTGGTTTTCATCCCCCAGCCGGTTCGCCCAGTCAAAGCAGACTCAGACCACAAGATGGTAGTAGCCACCGCCAACCTCGGTGGCAGGCTTGCCCACAACCGTGCAGTCCGGACTAAACCGAAACAGAAGAAATTCAACCGACGGGAATTGCAGTTCGAAGCCGCACGGTGTGCGGTGACTAATCGGTTCCTCCTCAGCCTCGACACACGACTGGACGAGCGAACAACCACTGCCGGGGAATTGGCGACCTACTTTACCAATGCTCTCCTCGAAGCACCGCGGACGACCCTAGGGGAGGAACCGCGGAGACGCCGCACGCAGGAGTGGTGTGAGACCCCAGAGACGAGAGCAGTGCTGAGGAGGCCCTTACCAAACGGCGGGAAGCGCGTCGAGCGATGAGGGGCAATTGGAACTCAGCAACGTGGAGGGCTCTGAAAGCAGCGTGTAAGGGAGTGGCTACAGCAGTCAAAACGGTCATTTATGCCCACCTGGACGGATATGTGACTGAACTCGAAGCAATCTACAAAGAACGCGACATGCAAGGACTGTACCAACACCTCAAGAGATCAGTGGGCCTCAGCGGGAGACAAGCGGGGGGACAGCAGTTCGTCGCGGATGAGAACGGCGTGTTGCTCCGGAACAGGGACGACATCCTCCAGCGGTGGGCGAGATTCTTCAGCACCCTGCTCAACACCAAATCCCCTACCCTGAACCCAGACATCATCGAACGAGTGACGCAGCGGCCAGCGACACGTGACACTCAACGGTTGGGCGAGGAGGTGAAACGGGCAACGAAAGGCCTCAAGAACTGGAAGGCACCCGGCCATGACTTCCTCCCTGCCGAGTTGCTCAAGATCGCTGACGACGAACCCTTCGTCCTGGGGCACCTCTAAACCATCCTCGTAAAGGTGTGGAACGGAGGAGATATTCCGCAAGGGTGGAAGGATGCAACCATCAAGGTGCTGTACCAGAAGGGTGACCGGTCCAATTGCAACAACTACAGGGGGATTTCGCTACTACCTCACGTAGGCAAGGTCCCCATCAATATCAGCACCAACCGTCTAAGCGCCTTCTGCGAAGCCAACAATATCCTCCCCGAGGAACAGTGCGGATTTCGACCCGAGCGATCCGCCGTCGACGTACTGTTCGTCGTGCGCCGCCTCCAGGAGCTGGGGCGGAGAACAAAATACCGCTCTACATGTGCTTCGTCGACTTCAAGAAGGCGTTATGATTCGGTGGACCGAGAGATGCTATGGAAAGTGCTGGCCAGGGCCGGGATTCCCGCGAAGCTGATCAAAGTCATCCACCAATTCCATGATGGAATGCGGGCCCGGGTGCGCATGGACGACGGAGAACTATCGGGCTGGTTCTTCGTGACACAGGGCGCGCGACAAGGATGTGTGCTATCCCCGCTGCTGTTCAACATCTTCTTCGCCGAGGTCCTCGAGGTCGTTGTCATCCGATTCAGCGAGGATGATGCTATTCTGCGGAGCCTGGTGTGCTTGGAGGAGGGAAAGACGGAAGCGGGGGGGGCGGAGGAGACACCCCTTGACCGAGTACGGAGGGCAGTATGGGGGATGCTATATGTCGATGATGCCGGCGTCGTATCGAGGTCTGCAGAAGGACTGACGAGAATGATTACCATAGTCGTTGAGGCGTTCGGGGAGTTCGGGCCGACGGTATCGGAGAAGAAGACGGAGACGCTCCTGATGAGCGCGAAGGACAAGCCGACTACAACACCACAGCCCCCCCCCGCCTCCACCGCTGACCATCAAAGCCGCGGGACAGAAATACGCCCAGACGACCGAGTTCCGGTACCTCGGTGGCCTCGTCAACGAACATGGCGACCTCACTCGGGAGATCAACTACAGAAGCAGAGGAGCGTGGGCGTGCCTCAGGCGATATGGCCGGGGGCTCTTCGACAGACCGAAAGCGCCATTCCGACTCAAGATCCGCCTCCTCCAGGCGGAGGCGATGGGGGCACTGCTGTACGGCCGCATGACATGGTCACCACTCAGCCGCCACTACCAGACGCTGCGGTCGATACACCACCGACTGCTCCTTCGAGTTATCGAGTACAAGCGCAAGAAAGACACCTACCGGCAGCTTCCTACGCCCAGACGCTGAAGAGGGTCGGATGCCAGAGCGTTGAAGCCACGATCTGACAACGACGCCTACTGTTCGCGGGAGCATTGGCAAGGCAGCCGGACAGGCGACTCCCGAAACGACTGATGCTCGGCGAACTGGCGGGGGGGGAGGAGCGACTTAGGCGGGGACAGGAACAGAACTGGCCGAAGTGTGTGCTCGATGACTGAAGGCATTCGGGGCCGACCACGGATCTACGAAAACCAATCCATGTTGTCTCGGAATCCCGATACCGAAAGACACGGCACCGAAGTTAAAGTGGACGGAAGCCGCGAAGGTGGAGGGGGGAGTACCCTGGCATGCGGCGGTGCTGCAGGGAGCTGAGAGGTTCATGACCTCCTGGCACAAGAAGAAAGAAGAGGCCAGCCGACAACGAGCGCTCAAACGAGACCACAAGCCAACAACCAATGGGGCGGGGAGGGGGGCAGGAGACGGACGAGACGGCGAGGGAAGAAAGTAAACGAGAAGAGACGGACCGAGTGGCGTGATACGTGCCGGATTGAATTTCTTTTAGCCAATTCCCCCCCCCCGACGCTGCACCATTGCACCAACCCCCCACTAGTGATGACGCCATTACCATGTATCGCTGGTTGATGGCCATGTTTGCGTGTTTGCTCGTTCGTTCGTTAGTGATCTCTCCACCGTGTGCCTTATTCTGCCTCGTATTTCTTGTTGTTGAACCAAGGGGGTGTACCTCTTTCTCTCTGGCCCGTGATGCTGACTCCTAGTCTCAGTTGTTACCTCGCATAGCGCGCAG